CGCCTATCAAGCACTAGAGTATAATTTTATATACACCTGACTTCTAACTATTCACAAAGTACAATAATACAGAGTTCATTGACGTCACAGCAGCTACCTGTCACTCTTACTTACCCGTGTGAAATAATAACATACAATCGCGAGGCACCCAGGTGTACATACGATGTCGGGGCTAGCGCGTGGTAGACGATTGAATGGACTTTTTAACTCTGTTTAGATAAATGGTTTTTTTTTGTACATAAATACTTGTTGAAATAGTTTTTGTTTAGTGGTTAGTATATTTAATCGTAGGATAAAATAGTTGAAAAAGTTTTAATGAAATTTAAAATTATATATATATATATATATATATATATATATATATATATATATATATATATATATTATGTATATTGACTATTTGATAAATTATAATAGCTAAACGTCGTTACTACTATAATTGTTGCGTGGATGATAACCAACAAAAGGTTTCAGATATATCATTCTTTCAAGTTACCGAAGGGTTTTAGTAGGAAGCAATGAAAAGTAAATTTATTTCATATTTTATTTCTTCCATAAGTACTTATAGCAAAAAATAATCAAGTAATAATTTAACTACCGAAGCAATACCTAAGTACTTTATTAAAAAAACTTAGTTGAAATTTACTTCACTATACAAGTAGATATCTATAATTATACTAGTCTTAGTATTTTAGGTTATAAAAACAAAAAATACCAAAATTAAAACTTTTTTTACTTACAAGATTTTTAACTAAGTAGAATACGATCATATTTCTGTCAGGAATCGATTTTAAGGTTTAGTTGTTGCTTACACTATCTACCTATACCTTCCGAACCAAGCAACGCGATTCCCGAAGAGTGGCCTTGTAAGTTCCATGCGTTGGGCATCACATATCTTACATAGTAGCATAAATGTGGTCAGTCGATTATAGTCAGAATAGGTACTTCACCTCAGTAACTTAATTACCATTTCGCAATGTATTTTTTACTCTATAATGACAATCCTTTGTAACCACGGAAAGTCCACCGTGACGCAGGAAGGGGAAAATATGCAAAGTAATACGAACAAGCGCGGGCAGCGATAAAGTTTTATTTAGCTTGCGTGCACGATTTATTTAATTAATAATATTTATGTAGGCTATTAAACGTCGGCAAGCAGTCAACATCAAAGGAGTACAACTTCTGTACGTAGTACTATTATTTATTCTGTGGTTACAGCTACTGGACGGAAAAGGTCGCATCTCATTCTGATCACATGCGAATTATTAGGTACTTATTTATAATCGATTCTACATAGACATTTATTCATTCACACTAACAAAAGAAAATATACTCGTAAAATGTATTTTTTTCTTCTATCTTTTTAATGAAAGGCAAGTAGATTTCCTAGGAATGATAACCTTTGACACACTTAGTGCATTACGGTAACATGTAATGCTCCCACTCAAGGCTCCTTTTAATCTGCTTAATCCACTCACGAGTAGACATGAATACGTTAATTTAAATAAATGGTATTTGACGACATTTCAACGTAATTAAAAATCTCGTATGCTTACCAAGTTATTAACTAGCTTTCTGTTTGCTTATTCGGTACAAATTTTACAAATTTCTTTTGAAATTACCTTCCAATGAGCTCGAAGTTATAAACAATGTACAGGGTTAATAAGCAATAGAGGCGAATGTTGAAAAAAATTAATTTACATAAATTTCAAACATTCTGTCCAAATTCAAAATGCGTGGCCATGCATTATTTTACCTGATTATCATTTATGAATATCTAATGCCTACTAAATAGTACTACGTACTACGCACGCACACATCTCGGTCGGTCGGTAGTTAAAACAGAATAGTAGGCTATCTTCTAAGAAATGTACCCAACGCTGCCAATATGTGCGCGATGCGCGTGCCTGGAGCGTGACAGTGTTTATACAAAGGTACTCTGTGGTGACAGTACGCACTCGTACGCACGAGCCACAGCACGTACCCAACGACACTTACTAAGTCGGGAAGATCGGTCCGAGTCGGGAACGCCCACCGCCGCGCTCCGCAATTACTTTTGTTTGAGACTTTGTTGACTTTTAATAAAATTTTGCTAGCAGTCTTGTTATCGTTTTATTTTCTCTTCTTGTAAACAAAATTAATATACGCGTTTGTTTAAATAAATTAGCTTTTTATTAATATGTATTATTGCTATATTTAACATAGATACATAAGTGCATTAATTATCATGTCACATTAGATAAAATTAATTTTAAACATAAAAAGCTGAGCTGAAACCATATGCTCAGTGTTAATTTACTCATATTTTAGTTATTTGGTATTATTTGTAATGTAAAGCTGAATTTTTTTTTTGACACTAAACTTTGAAACTAAAGAAATTATTAACAAGTATGATGCATAAGTACATATCCGTATGTATTATGTTTTTAAATATTATAACTACTCTGTTAAACGAAAAGACAGTGACAACCCTGCAACAGTAGGCATTTAAGTCCCGCACGGCGCGGAAGTTATCCTACTAGGTATTCTGTTTTTACTATGGGTCGGCTAAAACGCTGTGAATTGAATCGCACATTCAATTTGGGATAACTTCAAATAAAAGTAGAAGTCCTATTTACTGGAAGAGATTGCTATGTAGCAATAAGACTGCCTTTTGTTTTTCCTTCATTGTTTGCTCATTTTTTGTTATATTTATATTTTATTGGTGAACAATAAAGAGTATTGTATTGTATTGTACTTTTAAAAACTGCAATAACGGTATATTTGTTTGGGTGGATAGGTACTCTTTGCAAAATAACCCAAAATAATTTCTAAGCAGAAACTATATACAATAAACATAGTTCCAAATCGAACGGTGATTATTTTTTACCTACTAGAGGTAGGTAAAAAATAGTTGCCGTTTGTTTAAAATAATATCGATATAAATCCTGTGGTTTGACACGGGGAACTGAGTATGAGAAGGTTACGAGCGAATTATGGCTATGCTTGGAGTTAATCTGCATGATAGGATAACGGTGATATCCACTTTGTAATCAAAGTATCCGACCATAGCCCAATGGATCTCCTGGAGGGATCTTGGAATCCTGGAAGGATGACAAACGAGTGCACAGTCCAACTCTAATTAGTCTATGAGTCCAACTGATGTCGACCCATATACATCTATATCTATGCTCGATGAAGAATTAAAATGAAGATGCGTTGTCAACGCTGATGATTAAAATGAAATGCCTTAGTTCCCGTCAAATGTATCCGTTTTTCAACAGTTACCATACGAAACATAGTAGCATTAAGCTGTTATTTCACGCTTGTATTATGTGAAATCAGGTACTACCACGGGCGAGCCGACCTATTTGTGCTACAACCATAGTGTAGCGGCAGCGTTACTCTACCACGAATAAGTAGCAATGAATTTGTGCGAATTTGCAACAGGCCAGCCGTACAACAGTTACTGTTATTTTCAAAAAAAAAATGTCGCTCTGGATTTCTTGCACCCAGGACAGAGGTATTTTCCGAACCAATGGTAAAGTAAACATCAGAATGATTTCCAATAAGTATTATTTCTAATCTATAATTAATAAAGGTTTTATGTTTAATATACTAGGTTAGAATTTTTATATTTAAGATAGGTTGACGAACCGCCCAACCGATAGGGAAGAAAGGTTCTAAAAGGGCAGCCGTGTACCAGCAGTCGAGCGTTAATAGGTACTAGCTGTGACTCGCGATTTTCACCCGTGTATATCACGCATCTGAGCCGCAGGACATGACAACTTGCATTTAATAGGCGTTCATTGTCGGTTTTTTTTGTAATCGGTGGGTAGGTCGTTAGCGCGCCGAGCCATGTGTTGAATCATTTTAATGCATTCAAATGATATGCTATAAAGAGCAAAAATTATCTTCATGAAATTGTCTTGATGATGTAGTAGCTTTTGTTTGTAAGAATTAATATGCCATGCTAAATAATAACGCTCATAAATCAATCACGTTTTAATTTTCAATCATTTGTGTCACAAAATACATACTTTATTGAGGCTTGTGTATAAAAAACAGTCTCAATATGGAGTATAGCGGACCTTTTTTTAGATGGAATAAAGATCAATATTTTTGTAAAACATTGCATTTCGTTGGGCCATAGGTTCCTAGTTCAAATCCGGATCAAATGATTACAAAAATGGTTGTTCGAATGACAAAAGGTATTCCGGGTTGAACGATTAAAATGGCGGACGTGGCACGCGGCGGTCTTTGGACGGTTGGCGGTGTTCGTGGCGCAACCAATATTTACGTATCATTAACAATTACGCCAGCACACGCTGATAAACGGTCGGAAGCGCTTTTTATTCCAACTCGCTTAACAAAATCAATATTTAAGGCTAGCTGAGTAGTGTAGCCTAAAGCTAGATAGATAACGAATCGTTCGAAGTTCGTTCGTTCCGTCGAAGAAACGTTCAAATCGGACTTGTAGTTTCAGAGATCAGCGTGTTTGAAAAAAGAAAAAAAAACAAAAATGAACTCTTCCGCTTTATGATTTATATAGTTTAGATGATAAACAAAAATACAGCTGAATTTGCTTTATGATGCTTAATGAATCAACGTTAGTTATTTAAGCTATAACATAACGACCATCAGAATATCCTTCTACTAAATCATGTAGTATTAGGATAAAAGAAAAAAATCGTAAAAAAAAGCTCAATTTGTGTTCTTCTGGACTGAAAATTTGTAACTATCCACAAGTCTCTGTTATATGTGATTTATACATGTAGAAAGTGGGTTAAATTAGTAAGTGCCTCCACATTCTAAGTTTTTTATCCTCCACATAATACTCTATACCAAAAAATTCTCGTCAAAGTTGAGATCAGCAAAGACCCATCATCATTGGTTGATTTTTATAAAATTGGCCGTAAAAATACCATTACACAATACACAAAGAAAAATTTTGAAGTGCAGGGATGTAACACAGATAAAACAAATTGATCATGCGAACATTGTTTATGAATAAAATTTTGTTAGTAAAATAAAAATACTTTTCTATCGTTAAGTGGCTGCGACATGCGTACTGCGAAGCGCCGCGGCTGTCCATAGGGATCTAATAATCCGTGTGCTGACTCCACTGCTTCCTGCAAACGAAAATATTTTTTAAGCTCATCCTATACCTTTAAACGAGCAATTCTTGTACATATATATATAATCTCGGAAACGGCTCCAACGATTTTCATAAAATTTTGTGTGCAGGGAATTTCGGGGGCAATAAATCGATCTAGCTAAGATTTATTATTAGAAAATGTCTTTTTGTTCGTGTTTTTAGGTAATGAAAAACTGCTACAATATCGTTAGAATAAGAAGATAAATTTTCACAATTTAATGATGATTATAAATGGCTTATTTGGTATATTGGTCGGTCATAAAATCGTAATACCATGGTTCGAGCCCAGACCGACCGACCGGCTTTTTTTAATTTTTTTTAAGTCCCTTTCTTTTTTGAGAAAATCTATTTTTTCGAGCCCTTTTTTAGTATTTTTTAAAAACACGAAAATATAATTTAAACTAATTGCACTCATGATTTTTTATTCAAATAACCAGTTCAGTTTTTTCTATTATGTCGCTAAGATCAAAAAATATTATTCGTATTTCATCAGTATGTAATTTGTACCTAAATATAATTTCCAAAACACACGAATTAAAAAAAAACCGAGCGAAAAATACCGAGCAAAGCTCGGTCAACCGGGTACTTTATAATAATAATGTAAATGATAGATGCATACAAAGACACATGACATCAATGTTTACGGCCATTGCGATCAAAGATACATACCGATATCGTTACAGTGTATTAAAGTCCACTGCGGAACATAAGCCTCTCCCATAGATTGTCCCACAGGGAGGATATTTGCCACAGCTGGGGTGTGGTGGCAGCTGCAGTTTTTTGTTTTTAATCGTTATTAGGAAGACGCGGTAGAGACTACGGACTTTCATACGGCGCAATCTTGACACCTCCCTCAATTATTTATATCATATATGCTCCTAAGGGTAGACTTAACTTAGCCCATCTTCGATATATCGTCAATTCGGTCGATAAACTTCGTCTTGGGTGACTCTTGCCGACTCTGCCACTCACTTTTACATTATAAATTTACTTTGTCACTCTTTCCGCAGTCATTCTTTCTACGCGTCCAAACCACCGAACCATTCTTTTCTTAATCCCAGTCAAAAGATTTTCTTGCATACGAAACTTTATTATTACCGCAAAATTACTTCTTCTATTATTCAGACTAAGCTCTGATATACTTTTATGACTGCAGTTCTACGGCATTTATTCTACTCGCATGCTTATCCTAACACACCCGACTTTCAATATCAAATATATAATAGGATCAAACATAGCATTGAGAATTGTCATATGCATTTTTGACGTGTTCTGACTTCTCATACTAAATTAAATAGCCCCATTTAGTCTATATACTGTATTCACTCTTCGTTTTGTATCCTTGTTCCCTCATTATGTTTACCATTCATGCTAATCACTGCACACATCCTAAATACACAAACTCATCCATTTGTTCAACCAACTGTCCTTCTACTTTTATTTCACATATCGTTTTACTTTCTTCTCTTTCACAAACCATCACTTTGGTTCTTGCGTTCTCTTTCATTCTACTTTCTTTTAAATGTATATTCATTAAATTAACCGACATTAACATTATAACAATATAATAGTTGTAAACTAGTTATAATGGAAAACTGTTCTTCTTCTTCATCATCATCAGTTAGCATAAATCCACTATTGGATATTGCTCTCGTTCGTTTTAGAGAAAATCTGCCTTAGTCGTCACGTTTGATAGGTTCATTGACAGTCAGTATCAAGCGTCTCGTGTCTATGACGCTACTGCCTGGCGTCTGTCTGGGTATCTTAAGCATCATAACGTCTGGCATAAATGGTGTGGTAATATTTTTAAGAAATATTATTTGGTGTCCTAGTTATAAAACGCTTACTTTCGTCACAGGTAAACTTCTGGCCCGTACCAGCCACAACACTGACTCGGTGCAAGGCGGCGTGGTCAGCGAACCTTGATAGCAGGCATACTCTTTGAAAGGTGGACTAAAGAAGCGAAGGGGATGCGTGTTGACAGACGCGTTTATCGTGTTAACCTTCAGAACTTCATCAAGTATTTCCTTTAGACCTTGCTGTGTGTGGTCCGAATACTGTAATTGAGAAAAGATTCATAGTTGTTTGAGTATAAAGAAATGAAAATTATGATCAATTTATTCAAAAGCGGAAACAAATGGTATTTGCAGAATAGATATAAAAATAAAAGTTAAGTACAGCCTATATACGTCCTGCTGGGCACAGGCCTCCCCTCATTTCTGAGAGGGTTTTAGGGCAAGGAAGTGTCCGCCGCGATGCCCCAATGCGTGTTGGCGAACTTCACACGTCTTCGAAATATTTTTTTCTTATTCCTCAGACATGCAGGTTTCCTCACGATGTTTGCCTTCACCGCTGAGCACGTGGTAAATCAGCACTTAAAATGCAATTAATTTACAATTTCATTGGTGCCGGCAGGGATCGAACCCGGGCTACTCGCGTTCTGTTATGTTTACAGCGAGTGTTAACCACTGAGCTACCACGACCCACCACGGGAATAGATATAGAATACCGAATAAGATATAATTTTGTGTTGAACGAAAAATCTACTGATACCTCAATTTTTAAAATAAACATTAAATATATTTTTAGATACAAGTGCTCGTAATTCCAAAGTCAGTACATACATGTGTTGGTAACGAGACGAGGCTTTCCATCTTAGACCTTCGTATATATTTATGGGCCACAGCATCCACTTGCCATCAGGTGGACTGGATGTTCACTCTTCACACTCACAATAATATTTATAAAATTATAAGTGTGTAACGTATAACTGATGTATGCATTTGGCGAATTTAAAATTAAATATTTACGCGAATACAGCACATTAATTTAAAGCGCAGAAAAGCTCCAAAAACGTCGGGAATTAACAAATTAATATTAAAAGCGATGAAATCCACAATATTCTTTTCATTTAACTTACTTACTTTAAATTTTACTTAGTAAATTTTGTAGTTAATTTACAAAAAGTTACACTTAGTAAACAGAATTAAAATGAACTAGACCTAATTGAAATGTCACTCCTTCTTAGTAAAAAACGGACGGTATCGTGACGTTAGATCGCCTTATTGCTTTTTAAATTAATTTAAAACATATTACATATTGCATAGAGTGGATTAAATTCATTAAATATACAAGAATCATTACAACAATTAATATTATTAAAACAATTAATTATTATTACAACAATTCATACGATGTCTTACTGGAATCTTTTGCCATCGGAGATTTTTCGGGACGGATACGACTTAGCCACCTTCAAGAAATGAGCTTAGTCCTTTCTAAAAGGCCGACAACGCACCTGCATTTCTCCTGGTATTGTAGTTCTTCGTAGGCAAATAAATAGGAATTTTTTTGTCGATAAGCATTATTTTTATTTACTGGTGGTTCGGAAAATACCTGTGTTCTGCGAAGAACTAGCAATAAACCCAACGGTATTACACCTGAAACTCGAAGTGAGAGAAATTGGGCCTTACTGTCGACTTGATAAGGTTACGCTACCCGCTTTTATTAAGTTCCGTAAATTATTTTATAAATATTAATGACTACGATCTTCTTCATTATTTATCAGAACGTAAAAGACCAGTCCTGCTGAGTTTTGTTACCTCTTCCATTATAGGGAGGCTTTGCCACAATCGCCACGCATTTGCAAGTGAAATGAAGCACTTGAAGTATCGCACCTTTGATAGTTCTCTCCGTCAATGTTCTAACTATTTTATGTCTGGTGCAAAGGCGGTGGTTACATTATCATCTATCGAAAGCCATACTTCTTTCTGGAGTTTTCCATTGTTTTCTCTTGAAATACCTTCGAGGCGACAATATGGCAAAACAAGATTTCATAGAAGTTTTTTCTTTTTTGCAGAGAGTGACATTACGGAAACTCGTCTAAATGTGATTAAGAATGTATTTTCGGTAACAACTCCTTAAGATACCTTATAAAGATTGACTATTCCAAGAAACGCTTGGGGATCACTCGGCGCCGCATCGAGGGCTTCCTTCAATGAATTGTAATCAGCAGAAATATGGAGCATTTGGGTTTCCATTGGAAACTGTAGACCACCTATCGTGTGCTCTGAGGGCCAAATAAGGCTTAACGAATGAAAAATATAACGTCGGCTGTGAGCTGCACCACCGTACACAACTGGCTTTTGTTTCTCGTTCCATTGCCCGTAGAGGATCACTGAAAAACACGTGTACCTACTTGAATTATTTAAAAGAGGTTTTTTTTTATCATATTTGTAGTGCTATTCGACTAAACCAATTAAGACTTCATTAAGATATGCTAAGATACATAACATCGATACACATACATTCCAGTGTGACTTTTATCTGTTATCTTGAGCTATTAATGTTAGTAGCCCAAGCTTTTTATACGCCTGGCAAAGTTTAATTAGCTTCAAATCTACACAGTCAACCTTTAATATTTAACTTTTTTGAATATGTTTACAACGCTTATATTCAATGTCAATGCACTTGTGATTCCCCTGGTTGGTTGCAGTTGTTCAAGGACGGCTGTTATGAACGTTATATGTTATATTCAACGTTATATCGTTATATGTTATATTCAATGTCAATGCACTTGTGATTCCCCTGGCTGGTTGCAGTTGTTCAAGGACGGCTGTTATGAACGCATCCGTTCATAGCCGAAAAATAATATCATCTATAATACGGTTACTACATATAGCTTCACCAGTGTTACGATCTGGCCTTTTCTTTCACCCTTTTTTAACGCGCAACGATTGTAACAGTCGACTAAACAAAGAAAAAACTTTTCTATCATTTACCAGCCCTTTTTATTTATTCTTCTGACCATTCAAGAAGAAACAGCGGCTGTAGTCATTTATAATCAGGTGAGCCGTACGTTCGTGTGCCCCACTTCCATAAAAATGGGAATATCTATAATAATAAATATACATTGGATATTCGACAAAAGTCGGGTGCTTACGAATTTGCACCATTTGCTTGTGACGAATGCAAATCCGTTTACGTGGTCTATTTGGAACTATAATGCAAGTTATAAAGAACATGTAGCCGCGTACAGAATTTGAAATTATATTAAATCGCATTTCGCTAACGTATTACATATTTGTAATAAAGGTCTGAGTAGGACTGGAATAAAGGACTCTATATGCAGCAACAGTTGGAAAAACATTTTTTTCTAATTCACCACTCGGAATATAGTCATTGCCATCCCCACAGTGGTCAGTGATTGATTACGTGGTTGGAGTGTAGATTTGCACTTTGCAAGCGTCAGCGTTTTATAAATGGGCAGCTGAATTGGCTCGTTGCCTACTCAGTGATCATCCATCGCAGGCTCTAGTTCTCCTGATGATGCCTCGTTAGAAGCGAATGTGAATGACGTATTATTTTTACATCTTTCCTAGTGTGGTCTTGGGGTAGCTATGTTAGGGTGAGATTAATAGTGACATAATTATTAAGAAAGGAAGCGAGGTGCTCTTCAATGCATAATTTATATTTACGCGGAACTTATAGATATCCGCAAAATAAAACCTGATTCTAGTTATTATGCAAAATTTATTGCTAAAAGATAGGGAAATATATAGAAATATATATAGAAAGAAACTATAGGGCTTACATAGAATTTTAATAGGAGAATCACTTTTTCTTTACCTCAATGTAGAACACCATGATCGAATTCGACCAAAAAATATTATCGTACAATAATATTTTTTCATAATCACAGTTTTATTTACCTCGTCTCCCATCGTTGTGAACGGTTAATTTCTGTGCGACAATGTCATAATTGTTAAACATAAGCGGACGGGCGCCTCGGGCTCGGATGAAACCTTTCACTGGCAAGTCCACGGGGGATTGTGAACGGCCTTTGCAGTCCGGGAACAAATTACCCCATTCAGTCTGACCTGTTTGGTATTTATAAAATTTATATTAATATATTACATCGCAGCCCTGCTTTAAATTATTCTTCGTCTACGTAAAGAGTATCAGTTATTGATTTCACTTTTGTTTTAATAAAAAAAATATTTTAAGGAATATCCTAAACTAAATATTTAAAATTTGGAAAAATATATATCTGCTTACTGTCATAGTGCCAATCAACGCTGGATATTGCTGTAACAAAATGAAAATATAATGACAAATAAATATGCTTAAATTTTTCTTTTATTAAATATAAAAGAATAAAACACTTACGTGTTGTTACAAAATTCCAGCTGTCATTTTCATGTTTTTTCTTCGTATCTGTTAGATCCTTTCAAAAAAAAATCTTGTGAACAAGGTGAATGTGAAATAAAATTGATTTATTTAAACTCGAATTTAGATAATTCCATTTTCTTCGTATCGGCGTATATAATTTATAGTTTAGGCGTAGTAGGCGGCGTATAATATGTGTATAGCGTATATAATTATTAAAATTTTACGAGCGGATTCATCGGACGATGAAATCGCATCGCATCATCGCGTGAGCGATGGCAGTAGGACAGCGCCTAAGAGGTGACAGAGCACATTCCTGAAAGCATCTACCGAAATACTGAAAAAACAACTGGCAACTTGGTAACGACGGCAAATATGTCCCTTTCGAGTATGAGGCTCTCTTTTGAGGAGGCCTTTATTTAGCCGTGGACTTTTCATAGGCTGTAATAGTACGTTATGATAACGTCTGATTATTTTAATTAAGCTGTAGTCTGTAATAACACTAAATTCGACAGGAGAATAACTATAAGAAATGAATAAAGTGAACGTAGCTATCTCGAAGGTTCCGATTACAGGACTGGAGCTAATCTATCTAGAAGGAACCTTACCATCTAAAAATAAGATTAACATTTAAACTTACAGCATTTCTAGGCCGTCTTCCTGACACAAAATATTTAATATCAGGAAAAGGCGTTGGTATATGAAACACCCAAATGGACTTAGGCTGAAAAAAAAATAATTTGTCCTTAATACTGTTTGGTGGCAGAGTAGGAGAATCAATCACTCCTTAAGGCCCCGGGGGTATCATAAAGTTGCCCCTTGTGAGAAAGACGTATAAAAATCTCGTTTACATCATCATCATTACAGCACTTCACAAGTCCACTGCTGAACATAGGCCTCCCCCAAGGAATGCCACAAGGCACTGTCTTGAGCCACCTGCATCCATTGAATTCCTGCATGTGTGACGAAGTCGTCATTCCATCTAGTGAGGGGACATCCTACACTTTGCCTATCGCTACAAGGCTCCCACTCGAGAACTTTTTCCCATCGGTTTTCGGTTCTTCGAGCCATATGACCGACGTTTCGGGTGCGCTGTAAAGCACCCGAAACGTCGGGATAATAATAAAAATAAATTAAAGTAATTAAACGCGATAAAATCCGTAAATAATAGTTTTATTCAATGACCGGTTTATTGCCACTTCAGCTTACAAATCCATTTAGCTATGTCGGTCACTCTGGTTTTACTGCGGATATCCTCATTTAAATAAAACTAGTTTCATTGAAATGTGTAGTGTTCGCGCAAATATAAGAAATCATTATGAATATCCTCATTTCTAAGTTTATCACGCAGAGAAACCCAGAGCATAGCCCTCTCCATAGCTCGCTGAGCGGCACTGAGCTACCTCATATGGCCAACAGAGGAGAACCACGTCTCAGATCCATAAGTCATTACTGCCAAGTCGGAATATTTGTCCCAGGAAAACATACTCGTCAACAACTTCGAGCTTAGTACTCCCAATAACTACCGGCATAGGTGTGACATGGATGTTGCACATGGTCGTTGTTTTGTCCATGTTTATCTTAAGAACTATCCGTTGGGGGGCACTAGTGAGGTCATTCAGCATAGTGCTTAGGTCCTCTAGCAATTCTGCCATAAGGACTATATCGTTGGCAAATCGAAGGTGGATGATGTATTTTCTATTGATTTTAATACCGTATCCTTTCAATTCCAGTAGCTTGAAAACGTCTTCCAATGCAGCGCTGAAGAGTTTCGGGGATAGAGCGTCACCCTGTCTTACACCTCTTTGCAGCTGGATGGGTTTCGTACTCTGGTTCTGTACTCGGATAGCCATCGTAACCAACTGTACAAACACTTCAGTACTTCGATATACCTGCCGTCAATTAGGCACCGCTGAAGGGACTGTAGTACCGCCCAAGTTTCGACGGAATCAAATTATTACTCATAGTGCACATACGCAAGACATAGTGGCAGGCTGTACTCCTTGTTCTGAGTGCCGTCTGATTGTAACTCTCATCATTGCTCTCACACCACGTATTTCCATAGTTGCCACGATTGGCGAGTGGGTTGGCGACCGCAATTTTCCTATTGTTATTTTGCTGTCATCAGAAAGATGCTGCAGCCCATCTTCTGCCTCAGTTTCCCTCTGTCGCCACTTACGACACCCACGGCCCGCCACTACACGAGATCTCGTGCGCGCTAGATGTAATATACCCAAACCAGTGACGAGCAGCAGCGTCAAAGATGCCAGACGTCTGGTGCTGCGATCATCAATCCGCTTTTCAAGCGTGACCATTACTATTAGACTTCAAAAGGGTCGATAAAAAAGGAAGAACTCTTGCTTATAACTTTCTTATTATTTTTAAAAGGATGCCCCAATAAGGTATTCATGCATTCATTCATTCATTCATCGTCATCTTTACAACTATTCACAAATCCACCTCCGAACATAAACCCTCACAAAGCACTTTCCTGAGCCACCTGCATCTATCGACTCACTGTATTTACATCAGGTGTTAAGATAACATTACTGGCCTTCAAGTTTTTGAGAAATACGTGAGATGACGTGTCTCTAATGATGCATGCTAAACGATTCATACATACATCACAGAAAATATATAGCATAAAAACAGCATAGATGTGGCTCTGAATGGATATGTCTGCATCTTCAATAAGGTTTTATCACCCCATTTCAAAAACAAAACCTCCACAATCCTGCTTCGCGCCTCCGACGTAACACCGACGTGGTAGACGCAACTAACAAAAGGTCTTTAAATACTGGTTCTCCACCCAATTTCAGAGGTTCTGTTGCAAATTCTTCCGTTGCTTTACCGATTTAAGGTTAAACACCGAATGACTAACGTCCACAACAACATATTCAAAATTGTTACTTTCTTCTAGTATATTACCCGAACATACGAGTGGGATGGAAATCTTATTTCTTATCCCATAATATATTATACATAAATCACGTATATACAAGTAAATTAATAAATATCTTCATTTTTAAAGTGTCTTTAGTCCATAGCATCCATTTAGCGTCATGCTTTTTATAGAACTTAACTTTTTATAGTCACTTAACATCAAGTGAGCCGCATGCTCGTTTGCCCCCTCTTCTATAAAAAAAAGAACATGGATAATAAAAGAGCACACAGATCACCTGATTGTAAGTGGATGTTGTGGTCCATAGACACTTACAACTTTTCTCGATTAAGAATCAAAATGTTAGTGCGCTGTCACCCGTGATACGATAGAATGTCTCGTTGCACTCCAGTTCTCTACACTTACCTTACATACGTAACTCAGCAGCATTAAGTTGCTATTTAGGATGGTACTCCGTGAGAGCGTTGTCCTTTTCTGGTCGAGCCAACCCACACGTATATATTTAGCTGCAGCGTGTCTCTACCGCGTTTAAAGACAATGGAATGTTCTTTGCAACAGACTTACGCTTCCATATTTTATTTTGTCTTGGGCTTCATTATCAAGTTGCCTTTGCAAATCGTCTGCATCATCAAACAAAGTGTTAGGTCGCGAACTGGTCTGATCTTGGGTATCACCTTAAACATTTTCATAAAAATACTTCCTTAGTTTAAAACACAAGGCTACAACTATAACTTAAACATTTTTCTTCAACTTATCGCATGCCTCATAACGTGGGGGAGTGCTCTACTCTCGATATGTCCATACCCCTCACCTCAATTTCGCTTCATAAAATTGTTCTTATACTTTTAGATAGACATCAAATTCATATTATTAACATTACAATAACTACAGATATTGAATTGTAAGTTTAGTTTATTTTGCAATTTAATTGACTTTAGAACAAAAATGTAATTCAAAAAATATATGGAGTTGGTCCTTTGGTCTGAGCATCGGTGAGTCTTCTCGCTTAATTGAAATGTAGGTAAGCAATATATATTAAAAAGATTCCATATATCCTAAGAAGGATCTCTACTATTATTATTATTTGCGAAAACCCATAAATGGTTTCCTATTGTTTAATTGTTTTCTACCTACTCTGTTTTTTTGTTAACCGAGGGATTTCCGATTAAATAAATAAATAAATTAGTTTAAGCACGCTAACTAAGCTTTAAATGCTACTAAGACTAGAAAGGGCTGTTACATATTATTTCTAGAAGCCGCGGATTTCGCGTTCAGTATGCTTAACTAAAAGGCTAGAAATACTGCTAATGAAAGACCATAAAAAAGTTAAACCATCCGGAACCGGTTGCTTTGATAAAGACTTTCAAAATTATTGTTCTTGAGTTGCATCGATAAATCAGATTGGGAGATATGACCAAAGGGTATATATTCAGTACGTGATGTGACTTCATAGCGTATTTTGTTGGTTTGATTTGTTAGTTTCTCCAACTGCTTCCATTTACCGTGATTTTCTTTTAATTTCCCTACCTCGAGTACTGACATATGAATTATATCGTGTTGAAACAGGTGATATATCAATAATTGATACTTACTACCCTTCGACATAAATATCGATGTTTATTTACTATCGATATTTTCGTATATTGTAATTTTCTTTTCGTGTAATTCCCGTCAGCACCAACAAAATCGGTAATTGCAATTTCAAGTGCTAATTTAGCACATGCTCATCTGTGAAGAACAAATTTGCTTGTTTGAGAAGTTAAGAATGTTTTGAGTACGTATGAATTTTTACACCGTTGTATCACAGTG